CGGGTTATAAACCTTGTCCCTTTTATTTTACCACCTGTGCCCCATTGGGGGGGGTTTTCCTTTCACTTCCTGTCCCATAGTCAAAACAGGAAGTGAGAGGAAATGCCTCCAAAGTGGAGGAATGCCTGGTTGTCACTAGAACTTGTGTCCCCGTTGGAAGATTTCCTCTGTTCTGGGAACAACCAAAAATGTGGGATTTTCATATACTTTCACTCTCGGTGATGACAGTAATGGGCTCGCAAGGGTAATTGTTTGGTTTTTTTTTTTAAATCCTAGTGTTCAGCTTTTAAAAGGGACTGAGATCTGGAAAAAACGCAGATAGAGGGCATAGGACCAGTCACCAATATTGCATGTACTCCTCCTATAGCGCATCTTATTCCCATTACTGACTTACTGAGGTTGATTTCCTAAACCTGTCAGGCATTTTAATCCCTCTCCACTCTATCCAAAACAAAAACAAATTGTGATCATGCTTGCAATGGTTTGAAGGATCTAATGCAAAAAATAAAAACATGCACGTTTCTTTCTTTTTTCAGTAGGAGTGTATTTCTTCTTCTTATTGTGTATATATTTCTTTGCAATAGGTGGAGTTACCCTTTAGATTCCCAGTAATGTTAGGGTTAACAAAGGTATGCCTAGACCAGACTGTCTCTTCCTGGAATCGGGGTCATGCTATGAGCAGATCACACAGACTGAACTGCCTGAGAGCCTATTGGTGTGTGCTAAGGGGAGGGACAAATAGCTGGGACACATGACAGCTCAAATAGAAAAAACAAACTTTATATACACATACAGATATTAACATGGTGTCAGAAGGACACAGGACACTGAGATCTAACAGGAGCTGCACAGCATCATCAGCTTCTACACCAACACTGACTCTTGAAGACTGACATACACAGGTAACCTGTATAATAATACTCGGATTAGGAAAGAGACCAACACAGCACACACAGGTTGTTGTGTAAAGTCACATAAACTTTGTCATTCTTCTTCCATCCTGCACAAGGACTGATCTGCAAGAAATGAAGGTTATACTGAAGGTTCCATGTCTATCTTCACTAAGGAGGTCTGTTCTGGGGTCAGCAAATCCTTATCTGATGACAGGTAACAGATGTCCTCTACACAACTTGATGACTGCTATTCATGTTCTCTCATGTATGATCCTTGCAGTCTGCCTTCATTGTTCCCTGTGTGTACACTTTCTCAGCTTGGCTCTCAGTGTTTAACTCTTTCTTTCAGTGAGAAAGGTTTCTGCAAGCCCATTCCAGCTGCTGCCACACACTGGTAGAAATAGAATCTTGCTGTCAGCCTTCTGTGTTACAAAGGAATCGTATTTCTGCCAAAGGTAAGCAGGAGAGATAACATTATAGGCTTGTTTGTGAGTCTTACATGTGCATTATATAGATCTGGAGAGAAGGAAAAATGGAGATATTGGGTCTAAAGCAGTTCATGTATGTTTTTTATTTATTTTGAGAGCTATTCTTAAACTATGAGGGCTGAAGTTTAATTGTTATATATGCACTATATTGTCAAAGTATTGGGACACCCCTCCAAATCATTGGATTCAGGTGTTCCAATAACCTCCATGGCCACAGATGTATAAAATCAAGCACCTAGGCATTCAGATTGCTTCTACAAACATTTGTGAGAGAATGGGTTGCTCTCAGGAGCTCAGTGAATTGAAGCGTGGTACCGTGATAGGTTGCCACCTGTGCAATAAGTCCATCCGTGACATTTTCTTGCTTCTAAATATTCCACGGTCAACTGTTAGTGGTATAGTAACAAAGTGGAAGCAACTGGGAACAACAGCAACTCAGCCACAAAGTAGTAGGCCACATAAAATGACAGAGCAGGGTCAGTGCAGCTGACGCACATGGTGCACAAAAGTCGCCAACCATCTGCAGAGTCAATAGCTAAAGACCTACAACCTTCGTGCGGCCTTCAGATTAGCACAACAACAATGCATAGAGAGCTTCATGGAATGGGTTTCCATGGCTGAGCATCTGCATCCAAGCCTTACATTACCAAGTGCAATGCAAAGTGATGGATACACGGGTGTAAAGCACGCTGCCACTGGACTGTAGAGCAGTAAAGACGTGTTCTCTGAAGTGATGAATCACGCTTCTCTGTCTGGCAATCCGATAGGTCTGGGTTTGGCGGTTGCCAGGAGAATGGTACTTGCCTGGCTGCATTGTGCTAAGTGTAAAGTTTGGTGGAAGGAGGATTATGGTGTGGGGTTGTTTTTCAGGGGTTGGGCTTGGCCCCTTAGTTCCAGTGAAGGGAACTCTTAAGGTGTCAGCATACCAAGACATTTTGGACAATTTCATGCTCCCAACTTTGTGGGAACAGTTTGGGGATGGCCCCTTCCTTTTCCAACATGACTGCGCACCAGTGCACAAAGCAAGGTCCATAAAGACATGGATGAGCGAGTTTGGGGTGGAGGAACTTGACTGGCCTGCACAGAGTCCTGACCTCAACCCCACAGAACACCTTTGGGATGAATTAGAGCAGAGGCTGTGAGCCAGGCCTTCTCATCCGACATCAGTGCCTGATCTCACAAATGCACTTCTGGAAGAATGTTTGAACATTCCCATAGACACACTCCTAAACCTTGTGGACAGTCTTCCCAGAAGAGTTGAAGTTGTTATAGCTGCAAAGCATGGTCCACCTCAATATTGAACCCTACGGACTAAGAATGGGATACCATTAAAGTTCATGGGCGTGTAAAGGCAGGTGTTCCAATACTTTTAGCAATATAGTGTACTTTCACTAAACTGCTGTTAATAGTTGCAGGTTTATCTAATAGTAGAGTTACGCCTTTTGGAAAAAATAATAAATGCCTCCATATTTCAAAAAGCAAAAATGTGCATTTATTTATTTAATTTGAGCCTGCAGAGCACTGCAATCGTGATCAGCAGGGATGCACTCAGGAGGGTTCAAACATGAATCCAAGCCTATCAAAGGAGGAACCAGAGGCGGACTGACCATTTGGAAACTCGGGCACTGCCCAAGGGCCCGGGGTCAGTAGGAGGCCCCATGAGATGCCCCTGGTACATTTTTCATAGGCTTTTTTTGAGTTTGGGCAAGGACACAAGGGCCCCATAATCCCCTATTGCCCGGGGGCCCCATGAGTTGTCAGTCCGCCCCTGGGAGGCACTGTGAGGTTCTCATACTGAGGTACAGAACTTTGGTTATGGAGCTAGAGGAGCTGTGTCCATGCAGCCGCTGTTTCCAAAATGACATCAACAGGACTGCCTCTACAGGGATGCACAGAACACCCGTGCACCCCTATTCGGTTAAACACGGCCCTGCGCGGCTGTACGGTATAGTACATACTGGGGTTTATTTACTAAAAGTTCCAATATTTTCTCAAAAATAATACAAAATTCAGGTCAATCTACAATGTACCATAAAATGCAAAACTGGTGTCTATCACATTTACTTTAATGCTGTTTCCTCTCTTGGCACAGGTGGATACCTTCATACAATAGCATTTTTCTGCACAGAAGAGGATACAGCAAAAGCGAGAAGCTATCACTTACTGATGTGGCAGACAGGATCAAGCAGGGGGTACACAAGCGTATTGTGGTGATGGTGGGTGCTGGTATCAGCACTGACAGTGGGATCCCAGATTTCAGGTGATTACTCCTGACCATAACCCACAGAAATAGGCCTCTATGCCTTTATTACATCCTCATTGAATGTTTTGCTTTGTACTTGAGACTCATATGTGATCAGTTTGAGCTGTCAAAGAATTTGTAAATGATATTGTGGGTTCACCAGAGCCCCGGGAAGGTGGCAAACCTGGGTGCTCACTTTGAAGTTTTTCTAGGTTCATTATCCAGGTGATGGAGGAGCAAGGAGAAAAGGTACATGGGAATTCTCTGCCTACTCAGACATTACCAAATCCATGGAGGGTATTTAATAAAATTGGTGCAGCTGTGTATGGCAGCCAATCAGCTTCTAACCTCAGCTTTTTCAGATAAGCTTTGACAATAAAACCTGGAAGCTGATTGGTTTCTATGCAGACCTGCACCAGATTTTGTACTCTCCAGTTTTAGTAAATAACCACCCTTATGTCTTAACTTGTGCGGTGGGGGAAGGATAGCTGCATTGCCAGGAAGAATGGTGTGAGTTTAGATGGCTGAAAATGGCCATGTAATCACTCTGTGGGTCTGGAGATAGCCTTGTATATTCTTACATAGGTAAAGTGTCTGCCTTCCTGTAACAGTATAGTAGGAACAAGTCAAATGTGAGATAACACAAGCAATAAAGTCTATTTAAAGCATATCTAAACCTGAGAACACAAATGTTATACCGAGCAGCGTACCATTCCTTAGGTTGGCCATAGATGGATCAAAATTCACCCTGTTCAGCAGGAACCAGACGAATTTTGATTGGTGTGTGGCCATGCATGTTCTACAGAAATTGGTTGTTAGATCGACTTTGTTCAGTGGACTTTTTTTCTCGATCAGCCAGCTGCTGCAGCCACTGATCATGTGTTCTGAGAGTGGAGAGTCCCTCTGTCACAATACAATGTCCCAGCAGGAAGGTTTGCTTTATCTATTTTGCTTATGTGGATGGATCTGTTTGTTTCAAAGGTTCAAATCATCTATGGCCGCAATCATCTTTAAACACTTCCAGTCCAGACACTTTTACCCCCTTCCTGTCCAGGGCAATTTTCAGCTTTCAGTGCTATCACACTTTGAATGACAATTGCGCAGTCATGCAACAGTCATGTACATTTTAAAGGAAATCTTTGCAATAATAATATTTAAAATGTGCTAATCGAAAATACAATATACTTTCTCTTTACTATTCCATTACAAAGAAGATGCCAAAATGCTTGAGGTCAGGTGGCTGGACAGAGTGAATGGCCAAAGAGACATTTCACTGAAAAATGGCCCTAATCACCTCATATTATTGTCATTCACTAAGAACATAGGGGAGGCTAAGGTGGGATTCTGTTCATGTGAAGCTAGAGAAAGAAATATCTTTGTGTTGACCAATACTTACTTCACAGCCGTTTCCCCGCTGTATCTTTTACAGCTGCCTTTTTCTCCAGGTCTCCAACCAGCGGCCTCTACAGCAAACTGCAGGAATATAATCTGCCATACCCTGAAGCTATATTTGATTTAAGCTACTTCTTGCGTGAGCCTCATGCCTTCCTGCGTCTTTCTAAGGAACTGCTACCTGGACGGCACCTTCCCAATCCAGCACATTATTTTCTGCGGCTCCTAAATGACAAAGGGTTACTGTTACGTCTCTACACACAAAACATAGATGGATTGGAAAGAGGTAACTGACTGAGCAAGAAAAGTCTAGGGAACCAGTAATAGGCAGTTATTTTCCACATTGGTCAGGGAGAAGGTTGTTAATAGGAAATTACAGTTTTCTGTTCAAGAGCAATGAAGAAATGAATAGGCTACAAAGATGGGCAAGGTAGCAGATTGCTAGTTAGTTTATTACAATACAGTGCCATTAAATGCATATATATTTGCTCATTTGAAGCTACATTTGTATATAGAAGATTGAGTATATAAAGGATAGTAAAGGTACTGTAGATGCTTGGGTTGATCTAGACCAGAACCATACAACTAGTGGCCCATGGGGCCTTCTTTCTGCAGCCCCCCAAGATCCTAGTTACAGCCTATGCTGAATGCCAGGGGGATGTAGAGCCCTGAAACACTCTCTGGGGGAGATTTACTAAATCTGGTGCACTCAGAATTTGGTGCAGCTGTACATGGTAGCCAGTCAGCTTTTGTCTTCAGCTTGTTCAGTTAGTGTTACTAAACCCACAGCAGTAAAATCAGTCTGTATCTGCAGTAAAGCATGCTTGTTATACTCACTGCGGAACCTAAGGGGGGTTAATCCTCCACATTGTGTAAAAAAAGCTGTTTGATCCTGACTTCTCTGATCCTTCCCTTCTTCTACTGTCCACAATCAATCTGCTGATAATACAGAGCTCTAGGAGACACTCTGCACATGCTCAATTTGCTGTATATTGCTAGAGAGGTATTTTTTTGTTTGAGAGGGTGCATGTGATCAGCACAGGGCCAGTCAGCACTGTCCAGACAGAAGGTCAGGGGTCATGCAGCCTCATAGGACAATCAGAGGAGAAACTCCTCCTACAAGCTTTCATCAGTGCTCAGCCAGACACTGAAAGAAGTCACAAGACTGCTATATACTGCTGATGAGAAAAGGTATTTAGCAGTTTATAAGTACTAAAATAATTGCATTTCCATGTAGTGTGTACTGTAGGAAACCAGATATAGTGAATTCAGGGTTCTGGGTTTAGTAACACTGTATTAAGCTTCGGCAATAAAACCTGGAAGCTTATTACTCTCTATGAAGAGTTGCACCATATTTTGTACTCTCCAGTTTTTGTAAATAACCACCCTTATGTCTTTGTATGGGCCAGTCTTAAAGCGGAGCTCCACCCAAACAGGGAAGTTCCACTTTAAGGACTGCTCCCCATTAAGAATTGGCACCTTTGGGGGGCTGGGGGGGGAGCGGGTACCTGAATTTAACAGGTACCCGCTCCCACTTCTTGGCCGATCGCCTAGGCGATTGGAAGCGGAAGGTGTCCTCCCTCCCTCCCTGTAGTCTTTTGGGACACGTGACAGGTCTCAGAAGACTACAGGACCATTCATGAAGCGCAGCGCTACTCACGCATGCACAGTGGGTACCCGGCTGGGAAGCCGCAAGCTGTCACAGCCGGGTGCCCACAGTGAAGATGCCGGCCTCTGGAATACAGGATGGCTGGTGAAACGGGCTGCAGGGGACACACCGCGGGACTGAGGGACAGGTAAATGGCTGTTTTTTTAAAGTCAGCAGCTACTGTTTTTGTAGCTGCTGACTTTTATTTTTTGACAGCGTGAGTGGAACTCCGCTTTAACTTGTGTGGTGGGGGAAGGATAGCTGCATTGTCAGGAAGAATGGTGTGGGTTTAGATGGCTGAAAATGCCAGGTAGTCACTCTGTGGGTCTGGAGATAGCCTTGTGTATTCTTACATAGGTAAAGTGTCTGCCTTCCTGTAACAGTGTAGTAGGAACAAGTCAAATGTGAGATAACACAAGTAATAAAGTCTATTTAAAGCATATCTAAACCTGAGAACAAAAACCCCCACTGTGTTCCAGTCCTTAGAATGATGCTGAAACTGACTATTTGGCAAAGTTATCTCCTGCCCATCAGGCATAGCATCAATGCCAATGTTATTGGGGAGAGACAAAGCATCACAGTAGCATGTATTCAGGTAAGTAACAACTGAACACCAATGAAGAAGGGGGGTTTCTTGTGACTACCCTTGAAAACAATGGGGGGGGGGGGGGGTATTTGTTGCTGCCACTGACATCAGTGAAGGTGGTCAGGTTTATTATTGTTGTCTCTGTTCTGAGCTAAATGACTCTCAGAAACTGTTTCACAGCTGTGGCAGAGTATTGACTCCATACAGGCTGGTATGAGGGGGGGGATATAGTGAAAGTACACAGATGAGTGCAGGGGCTTTCGAGGTTATTCCTGTTATATACATGACTTTTCCTGTTATGCCTACGATAGATATAGCCAATGACTGATATTATTGAATTAGAAATTGTAAAAAAATAAATGGTTAATTTAGATGTTGCCCTTCATTCAACTTGTAGATACAAATGTGACCCCTGAGCCCTCTTTAGCTGGAAACTATTGAACTAGACTTTGACAGCTGAAATCCATTTGGATGTTGTGGCCAACACTTCCACTTTATATTTTTCTAGCTTTCGAATATGAGGTCCAGTTTGTATTATCAATTGCATATTTCTAAATGTATTCATCATTTTAAAAATAATAAAAAGAATCATAAACTGTAAGAAGAAAATAATTAGGTTTAACAGCAAAAATGTTCCCGCCTCATATCTTTTTTTATATTTCAGTGGCTGGGATTCCAGTAGACAAATTGGTGGAAGCTCACGGTTCTTTTTCATCAGCCACATGTACCATGTGCCTGAAAGAATACCCAGGCAAGGCCTTTCGTGTAAGTGATGATGGTTGAATGTATAAGCAACAGTGTTTGTGTAGCAATATCTACCATACCATATCGTATGATCCAATATCCTATAGATATGGTAATAAAGGAGATTTACATAAAATATTAAGTTGAAAGAATGCCAACAGAAGGCTTGAGCACAGCATTTGATTTATCCCCAGATGAACTTGCTTACTCTATTGTAATTTTCTAGTCCTTACCTGATTTGCAGCACCCCTCAATTTAAAACATTCTTGTAGAAGGTACACTTTACCCCAACAATGGTATGGGCTTTGTGCAGGCTACAAGTAGAAAATATCTAACATGCTGGATATAAGCTTGTTAGGGTTGCAGAATGTTATAGCCAAGGTAGCCAATATGGACAGTCCCAAGGCACCCTTTAAAATTATGAACAGTCTTGAGGCACCCCATTTAAAATGGGGTGCCTCAGGACTGTCCATAATTTTAAATGAGCACCCCATTCTAAATGTGAAAATATTTTATATAACGCAGCAACATCCACACATGTAGGACACCCAGCGTTAGAGGTGATTTATTCTTCCAAAGCAAATACACTTTTGCACACTGGTACTGACTAGTATTCTAATGTTTCTCTTCTCCCTCAATTTTTCTCCATCACCGATCTAATGTGTCTCCAGCACTGATGGAGAGGGGCAGGGAAGGGTAAAACAAGGCTGCTGTGCAAGCAGCTGACACCCTCTTTATCAACTGATGATGCCATTGGTTGTCAGGACGCCAGCAGCTAGAAGGTCGTCGTAATGGTGCACAATGAAAACCTGTGGCTTTGTGTAACTAAAAGGCTGGCTTGTATACAAGTTTTGGGCAATTTGTTTAACATTTTTCCAAGACACCCATGAAGAAACCTCAAGCCACCCTGGTTGAGAAAGGCTGGCCTATGTTCATGAGGCCTGGACTGTGTCATCATGTGTTCCATCAAACTGCACTTGCAGCCCCCTAAATTATGCACCATACTAGCAGAATGAGAAAAGACTAGAAGGTCCCGAATAAGCTTAATAGAGTGTGCATGCATGGGACATTTAAATCTAGCATCACCATTGTCACAAATGCCAGCATAGGAAATAATACACTTTGTAATATCGTATTAATTGGTCCATTCCTTATAAAAATCTGAACAGGCTTTTAAAAAGGCATGCGCCCTAGTGGTCTTTTGCTTGATACAGTTGAGCCTAGTCTACAACATACATGAAACATTACATTACTTCTGCAGTTATTTCAAAGCAAATAAGAAAAATGTAACCATTCTCAAATGGGCAGAGGAATTCTTAAGACTTTGTGCAAGCACGATGGAAATAAAATATGCAATGAATAGAAATGTAAAGTTGATTATTTTGCTAATCTTGCTTAAAATATCATATTTGTCCGGAAAGTATGGAGTTGCCCTTTAACTATTTGACAGCACGTGTTGTGTACCATGTGTCATGACTGTACCCTCTGTTACCCTTTAACCATTTGACTGCCTGTGATGTGCACCATGTAAAATGACTGTATCCTCTACTAGGTACTCATTGATCTATGAAAAAGGTTATACCAATCAATGTGTTAAAATAAGCTGAAGCTCACAACAGCAGCTCTGAACTTTGAAGTTTACATAGTGGCCTTTTGTGCTACCAGTACAAATAATAAGGGCAGCTATACAACCACCAGACCAATTCTACAAAGTGAAATCGCCCCCCCCCCCCCCCCCCCCCCCCCCCCCCCCCCCCCTCCCCCCCCCCACCCCCCCCCCCCCCCCCCCCCCCCCCCCCCCCCCCCCCCCCCCCCCCCCCCCCCCCCCTCTTTCTTCTCTTACTCAGTATCTGCAATTTCATCTCTGGCACAAAGGTCTGTTTAGGTCTCTGATGTCTGTATAAAGAGAACCTGTTACTCTTTGTGTATACTTAAATCAAAAAAACATAGCGCTAATATAAATTCAATATTAAATGCATAATTCTTAAGTGCATATTATCAAAGCAATGGTATAGTGAGCACCATTTAATCAAATTCAATATTACATGCTAAATAAATGGTCTAAATATAAATATCTCCAACAAAAGTGTTCTTGCGGTGCATCATGCAAAATTGCAAGGCAAGGTGGTAAAAAAATGTATTAGTGACTTCTGTGACCGTATTCCTCCCACAGAGATGAGTGTAGATTGCACTAACCAGAAAGCGCAATGGTACTGCGCATTTGAGTGTTAACCAACTCCTGGTCATCCGTCTATTGAAACTGGATCACAGAGAGGGTCGTCTGGCCTACGTCAGCTGGGCAAGTATCGCAACCTCAGGGTCTCCAGATATCAGGGGATATGCAATCGTCTCATCAGCAGGGGGAGTATAACCATTCCTTGTGTGGCCACCAGATCATCCCAAGCAAGCCTTGAAGGAGGGGGGGGGGGCTCGGAAGTAACGAGCCAGAACAACAGAAAGGTCTGATAGTGTAGTACTGTATTATCCACAGGGGTAAAACATACAGAGTACTAGAACTAGGTACTCACATGCAGTAGTAGGCAGTTGATGTTGGGGAATTCCAAAATGGCCACCGGCCGTCCACAGGAGCCGTGCGGTGTGACGTCACAGGATGTAGGGCACCTCCTAACGCGTTTTGTGCGCATGCACGTTATCAAAGGGAGTGGATACTGTCATATCCCAGCCTCCTTTTAACAATAATACAATTACATAGTAAATTAAAAAACTCAAAGATGTTAAATCAAGTAATAGTTATAAAAATATATATAAAAATCACATACAATCACACAGTGCACCTTCACACTCATAACTAAGAGGTATACAAATAATCCCTTTATACTAATATAAAAATCCATGCACTCCTTAGTGTTTTAAGAACAATATTTAGGGAATTATAGTAGTATACTGTAAAACACATGAAAGTAGAACTAAAGCCCAAACTTTTTTTTTTTTCATTTTGGATAGAGTAAGAAAGGGTTATATCTCCTGTCACGTTTATTTTGTCATCTGTGTCCTATTGGGAAGATTTCCCTTCACTGCCTGTCCCATAGCCAAAACATGAAGTGAGAGTAAACCCCCCAACATTAGGGAATCCCTGGTTGTCACCTGAACTAGTGTCCCAATTGAAAGATTTTCCTCTCTTCCTGTTCTGAGGACATCGAAAAATTTGGGATTTTTATTTAATTGCACGTACAGTGATAATGGTAAACATAACACATAGGGTGAATCTCCTTAACTGAAGCACAGACAGCAATCAAAACCTGACAGGTTTTGCCTTAATTCTACTTAATTAATTTCTATGTATTTGTTATTTCTCACCTTAGTGCCATTTTATCCTTAATCCATTTAGTAGGGGGGTTTAAATAATGCTGTATTCATGTACACTGACATTTTTTATTTATAGTATTGTTTGATACACATTTTGCAGCCATCATGGGATGTCCAAAATCAACAGGAAACCGACTATTCTGTAGTGCAAATGTACAAAATATAAAAAGTGGTCTGGGCACCTGAGATGAAAATGGAAAAAATCAGGGCTTGGCAGTGAAAAGGTTAAAGGGTAGCTGCATTGTCCATTCAGGGTAGAGTAACAGGTTCAGTCAATAGTATGACCCTCCAATGCTTGTACTTACTTTCCTCAGGTTCTCCAAAGCTCTGAAGTGATAATATCATTTAAACCATGTTTCTGTTTCCTGTGTTATATTACAGGATGCTGTGCTGGAGTCTCAAGTCCCTCGCTGTTCTGCATGTGGTGGTCTCATCAAACCTGATATTATATTTTTTGGAGAACAGCTACCCGCTCGTTTCTTCTTGCATCTCACCGACTTCCCCAGGGCAGACCTTCTAATTGTCATGGGCACCTCTCTAGAGGTCAGACCACTGAGAAAAAAAAAAAACAGGACAGGTTCTCAGGACATTATATTTTTGCCCCTGATAGTTATTTGCTGTAGCACTATATGTATACTTTGGTATATTGCCACTGACTCAAACAGTGTCCTCATTTTACTATAACCCAGCTAGGAAAAGAATAGGCATTGACCTTATATGAAATACTGATAAATACCAGCCTGTGTAAGCCAACACCAAACTGCACTGGGATTCTATTTCTTTACATTGAGGATAATTTACTAAAGAAGTGGAGCGTGTTCACTTTGCAAAGTGAATTTATGCTTAGTTGAGTAAAGAAGGTGAAGCTGTGCAAGAGGCGTAACTAGAACCTTCAGGGCCCCGATGTTTTCTTGCATCGGGGCCCTGAAAGTTACATTGCACAGCTTCACCTTCTTTACTCAACTAAGCATAAATTCACCCCCCCATGACCCCCGACCTGTTCCCTTCCCTCTGAGCCCAGTGGTGGAACGCCAGGGCCCAGTCAAAAGTGCGACCTTCGTGAGCCTGGTGTTCCGCCACTGGTGTCAGTAGTTTTTTTTTTTTGTTTTTGTTTTATTTTTTTTATTATATTTTTTACATTTTAACAAATTGTTTTTAAATTTTTTTTTTAGGAGCCCCTTTAGGGGCTTTGATGAAATATCAGGGGTCTACACAGACTTTTGGAACAGAGAATAGAGATTGAGGACACAGCGCTCAGTCTCCTTCTCTGCATCCTCTGCTACACCAAGTGAATGGACAGGAATAGCTCTGTACAGAGCTTCCTGTCTATTCATAAACTAAAATGTTTCAGTTATGAATGGACAGAGTCAGTGATTGGTACCGATCACTGACTGACCATTCGGAAAAGGAAGAGGAGGGGCAAAGAGCACAGGAAACAAGGAGCACGGGGGGGCAAGAAGCATGGGGAAGAGAGCAACATAAAAAAACTGGATAGGAGCAGTGACATGGGGGGGCTGTATATAGAGGAATCGATCTCTCCATTTTCCTCCTGAAGCCACTGAATGCCTGCTGGAGGGAGAGGAGAAGAAGTAGGCATGAAGCGGCTGCAGGAGGAAAATGGAGAGATCGAACCCTCTATATGCAGCCATTCCTGCCACTCCTCCTATCCAGGCATACAAGGGGGCCACATGGGCCCCCTGCAGCATGGGGCCAGGTCGCAATTGCGACCCTTGCAACCATTGTAGGTATGCCCCTGAGCTCTGCCTAACTTAATTCATCTGATCATGTGAGCAAATATCCTGTGTTTGTTTTTCTTTAACATGTCTGTGTATTTGTTCAAAGTAAATTTTCACTTCGCTTCACCTCATTCACCAAGCTAATTGAAAATTAATTTTGCAAGGTGAACATGTTCTACTCCTTTAGTAAATCAGTCCAACTGTGTTGATGAAATCAGACCCTTTGCTTAGTTAGCATTTTCCTCATGTAGAAAGGTATTACCTGCATAAAGAAATTTTACAAAGACAATGCGAATAACACATAAACCCAATGTAATGATACACATATTCACTCTGATAGCATGCTATAAACATCAACTAGCTTTGTCAGGCAATGACCCATCCCATACAAATACAATGATCCATCCCATACAAATACAATGACCCATCACATACAAATACAATGATCCATCCCATACAAATACAATGATCCATCCCATACAAATACAATGACCCATCACATACAAATACAATGACCCATCACATACAAATACAATGATCCATCCCATACAAATACAATGATCCATCCCATACAAATACAATGACCCATCACATACAAATACAATGACCCATCACATACAGTACAATGATCCATCACATACAAATACAATGACACACCACATACAGTACAATGATCCATCCCATACAAATACAATGATCCATCCCATACAAATACAATGACCCATCACATACAATACAATGACACACCACATACAGTACAATGATCCATCACATACAAATACAATGACCCATCACATACAAATACAATGACACACCACATACAATACAATGATCCATCACATACAATACAATGATCCATCGCATACAAATACAATGATCCATCCCATACAAATACAATGACACACCACATACAGTACAATGATCCATCGCATACAAATACAATGATCCATCCCATACAAATACAATGATCCATCGCGTACAAATACAATGATCATCCCATACAAATACAATGACCCATCACATACAAATACAATGACACACCACATACAGTACAATGATCCATCGCATACAAATACAATGATCCATCGCATACAAATACAATGACCCATCACATACAAATACAATGACACACCACATACAGTACAATGATCCATCACATATATATACAATGATCCATCGCATACAAATACAATGACACACCACATACAGTACAATGATCCATCACATATATATACAATGATCCATCGCATACAAATACAATGACCCATCACATACAAATACAATGACCCATCACATACAAATACAATGACACGCCACATACAAATACAATGGCCCATCACATACAAATACAATGGCCCATCACATACAAATACAATGACACACCACATACAGTACAATGATCCATCACATATAAATACAATGATCCATCACATACAAATACGATTCATGACATACAAATAAAATCACCAAAAGCTGTGCTCTGAATTTTTTGTACAGTTATGTTTTTTTCCTAGTACATGTTCTCTACTGTTTATTATACTCCACAGTTTTCAAACTTGCACAACCCATTTTTTCTGCAGTAATCTAATCTAAGCCCCTATATTTAAAAACAGACATCTCAGATCCATCCCCAGTTCTACCATTGGCTGTTTGATAAAGAACCTTGGATTAGTATTTGTGCTGCACTGACAGCAGTCTTGTCCTTATCCTATATACAGCAATGCAGTTGATATACAATGTAAAAATATATGTCTGTTTTACAGGTGGAACCATTTGCCAGTTTGGTGTATGCAGTCAGTCGTTCCACTCCACGAGTCCTAATAAATCGAGATAATGTCGGCCCATTTGTGGACACTTCAGATGGACTAAATATAGTGGAGCTTGGAGATGTCACCAGTGGAGTGAAGCATTTTGTACAACTGTTAGGCTGGGAGCGTGAACTTGAGGAGCTAGAGAAAAGTGGCAAGGTAATGTAAAAAAATGAAAGTGACACTAGACGATAATCTTATTCTCGAATAATCACATACACTGCTCTATGCACACAGCATATCCCATAGTCCATCTTGGGAGTAAGCAAGGTAGGGTGGCTATGTTTCCACATACAGTGGGACCTTGAATTATGAACATAACCACCCTCTAACAACAGCAGAAAAAGGAATTTGAAGATTTGGCGGAGAACGAGAGCAATAGAACAGAAGATACTGTGGGGTTTATTTACTAAAGCTGGAGAGTGAAAAATTAGGCTCACTAATGCATAGAAACCAATCAGTTTTTAACCACATGCCGCCCAGCCACTGTATAAATACGGCGGCAGGGCGGCACGGCTGGGCAAAACCACGTTTTAAAACGTGTGTTTTGTTGTAAACAGGTAGGGGGGCGCGCGCCGCCGCCTACCTGTCCCGCCGATCACAGCCGCGGATGTCAGTTGCCGGGTCACAGCTGGTCGTTACCGGCTATGTCCTGGCGATCGGCGGCAATCGCTGACAGAGAGCACAGCTGCAGTAGCTGTGCTTTCTGTCAGTTCCCTGACAGCTCCAGGACAAGCTGATCGGGACAGAAGAGTTTCTCTCTCCCGATCAGCAGTGTCCCGTGCAGTACATACCCCCACCCCCTAGTAAAAACACTCCCCTCACACAGTTAACCCTTTCCCTGAAAAATAAACTTAACCCCTTCCTCCCCAGTGCCATTAGTACAGTGTCAGTGGGTTTTTTTTTTTTTTGCACTGATCACTGTATTGGTGTTACTGGGGATGTCAGTGACCCCAAGTCAGTACCCCCCAATGTCAGAATGTCTGCCGCAGTCCCGCCATAAGTCACTGATCGCCGCCATAAGTCGCTGATCGCCGCCATTATTAGTATAAAAAAAACCTAAAAATCCCAGTATCTTTCCCGCCATTTGTAAACGCTATAACTTTCACGTAAACCAATTAATTTACACGTATTGGGGTTTTTTGTAGCAAAGACATGTCGCAGAATGCATTTTGGCAGAAATTTATGACTAAATTTGATTTTTAAATTTTTTTTTTTTACTGGACATGTTTTATAGCAAAAAGTCCAAAATATTGTTTTTTTTCCTCAAAATTGTCAGCCTTTTTTTTTATAGCGCAAAAAATAAAAACCGCACAGGCGATCAAATACCACCAAAAGAAAGCTCAATTTGTGGGAAAAAAAAAGGATGTAAATTTCATTTATGTACCGTATTGCATGACCGCGCAATTGTCCTTTAAACTAGCGCAGCGCTGTATAGCAAAAAAATGGTGTAAATTGCAGTATCTATACCAAAGTTTGTAGACGCTATAACTTTCACACAGAGCAATCAATATACACTTATTGGCCTAAATTTATAACCAACTTTGAGTTTACTATATATTTTTTATAGCTGAAAGTAAAAAATTTTTGGCCCTTTTTTTTTTGTTTATAGCATGAAAAATAAAAAGTGCACAGGTGATCAAATACCACCGAAAGAAAGCTCTATTTGTGTGGAAAAAAAGGACGTAAATTTCGTTTGGGTGCAGCATTGCATGACCGCGCAATTATCAGCTGAATTAGTGCAGCGCCGAGTAGCAAAAAGAGGCCTGGTCATTAAGGGGGGTATATCCTCTGGAGGTCAAGTGGCTAAACAAGCTGAGGTTAGAAGCTGATTGGCTATCATGCATAGCTGCACCAGATTCTGAATTCACCAGTTTTAGTAAATCTACCCCTGTATATCACCAGCACACAATCTACAAAAAAGGGCCCAGTGCTTTATGTGATGATCACAACATCACAGCTAAAACAGTCCCATTTGAGGGCCACACAGGACCCCTTCATCAGTCATGTTGCTGATTTAGCTGTGATGTGATCATCAAATAAAGCACTGACTCCCCCACCCCCTCTTTTTTGAGATCCTTGATGTGCTGGTGACAAATTTTTTGTCCTGGGTATTTCTGGTTTCCAGCCAGTGGTGGCTTCACCCACTTACCTGACAGCCATTTCCAGGAACATGTATTTGGACTTGAGAGCAATAGGTAGTACTTTTTTGAGTTAGGAATACATACATGAATAGAATTTTTTAAACCAGAGTTTAGTGTCATTCTTTCCACTTGCCGACCACTCCATAACCAAAAGACAGCTACAGCATGGCCATCCATTTCTGGGAGGGCATTCCTGGCCGTCTTCCCAGAACCCTACCCCCTTTTGCCCCCTGGGGCATGCTCTGTCACCTCTGCATCCTTTGGACACAGCTCATCACAGATCAGGGTAAAGGGTTACTCACACACCCTTTTACCATGTGATCATCTGTGCCACTCACAGCTGATCCCATGTAAACAGGCTTGCCAGTTATCAGCAGTCCTTTTCTCACAAACTGGGGGAGATTTACTAAAAGTGGTGCATCAGCTTCTAGGTTTTATTGTCAAATCTTAATTGAACAAGCTGAAGTCAGAAGCTGATTAGTTACTATGCACAGCTGCCCAAGTTTTAGTAAATCCCTCCCAATGTGTCTGTGTGAGGAAAGGAGAGCCGATAGCCGGCAAAGCTGTCTGTATATTGTTTACACTGATAATAAGGGTACTGATCATCAGAGCCCTGATTATCAGTGCAGTTCCATCAGAGCCCATCAGTGCAGCTTATCAGTGCCCATCAGGGCAGCCTATGAGAGCAGCCTCATCAGTGCACATCAGTGAAGAGGGGAAGTTACTTATTTGCAAAACTTTGTGACAAACTAAGAAAACCATTTTTTTTTCAAAATTTTCGTTGTTTTTTTGTTTATTTAGCAAAAAATAAAAACCCAGTGGTGATTAAATACCACCAAAAGAAAGTTCTATCTATCTAAAAAAAAGGATAACAATTCCATATGGGTATAGTGTTGCATGACTGTGCAATTGTCATTCAAAGTGCAGCAGCACTGAAAGCTGAAAAACTTGCCTGGGCAGGAAGGGGGTGAAAGTGCCCGGTATTGAAGTGATTAAATCAACTAACCAGGTAGACAAATAGACTGCTATGTTCCTCTTGTTTCAGAACACAGAAGATCATCAAGCATGAAATGTTTGTGGTGAGAACTTAAGTATGATGTAAATCAGGAATACAGAAAGAAGACATGTTACTATATAAAGTAGTAATCATTAACAATAAGTCATTTTTATTGTTTATATGATGCATCTAAAGTGTGTGTACTAGAATGGAGCTACTACGAACCTGTGGGAAGTGCTTTAGCTATTGGTAAAAATTGAAAGAACAAGTAATACTGTATATTATACCCTGTCAATGTGATTTCTTACTGTACTCTTTACCTCAATAACTGTGTTTTTAAATTAAAAAATGCACAATTTCTCAATAAATTGGTAGTAATGTATTGCTATATTTATTCACACAACATCAGTGCTCCAGTGAAATTAACAGCCACATTGGTGATTCACAATATTTTAACCCCTTCACGCCTAAGGGTAAAACAAATCTAAACGCCTAAGCACAATTTTGCAACGTTGACATGTGTTAGTAAAACCATACATATTATCACAACTACTTTGTACATCCAGGTGAATTATACCGCATTTTTTTCAGGACAAATTGTGCCTGAAAAGGTAATGGATAGCTCCTGATTTTTTTTCATTATCAAAGGAAAACTGGCCCAAAATAGTAAAAAAAAAAAAAAATTTTTTTTTATTTAGCTATGTCTCTCTTGTTACTACCATAACCTACCACCAAAGAACAACCCAAAATAAATTCTCCAGCTCTTGGCGATCACAGCAATACCATATATGTGTATGTTTGTTGTTTGGACCCATAGTATAGCCCAGAAACAATAGTGCGCATTTTGTTTTTGTCTTTTTTTTTTTTTTTACCTAAAACACACTGACACCAATTTTTTTTTAAATCCTGACCTTTGACCCTGACTTTTTGACTCTGACCTTCTGACCTTTGACCCTGACCCAAACAATAACCCTTGCACTGAACTAGACCAAACCGTGATCTAGGTATTTTTTCTTATTTTTTTTTTTTTTTTTTAATATTTATTTATTTTATCTTTTTTTAATATTTATTTATTTTATCTTTTTTTTTTTTTACAAACATTTTTTTTTCTCTATGCCAGGAGTTAGAGAGATACAATGTATCTCTCTTCTCCATTCATAGAGAGAGAGAAAAAACAAGGGGGCCGGGTTGTACAGTGACTGATCACTGTGATAGCCAGTCAGAGGCTATCACAGTGATCATGTGACCTGGAATCGGGAGTCCCGGGTCCCGATCGTTAGACTGGGACCCGGGGCTCTCAGTGACACCGCGGTCTTTGTGCTGGAAGTGCGCAGTGCGGCGAGATCCCAGCACAAAAACAGGTACGCAAATATGCGGCCCCACGGAAAAAATCCCAGTTCTGTGAGGCCGCATATTTGTGTGATTTCAGCGTCAAGGAGTTAAATAAGATCATTTTTATTCCAAGCCATCAGTACATACAAAACAAGAAAAGAACTTTACAAAGATAAAAAAGGAGAAAAAAATTGGACCCGTTTCTCACCAATCCACACAACCTGCTGATGTACCCCATGGAATCCTAATCAGTACAGAGCATTAGTTGTGGGGTAAGCTCAATAACATTACAGTTGTTGAAGCATAGTAGTTGTCCTTCAATAAATTAATTACAATTCAACTTGTTTTTTAATTAATATTGCATTCATCTGCACACTTCAAACAAGATCAAATACACAATCTCCATTGCAGACATCATCGATTAGTATAATCACCTTAGAAGGCTCCTATATCCCCTCACAAGGGATGATGGGAAATAGAGAAATAGAGCCCTGAGAGGTATTAGTCCACATACAATTTGTAAATAAAGCACAATAGTCAGACTTCCTGGATGATACAAGTAGCCTATCCAATACTAGAAGGCCTAGGCGCTAGTCCTGGAGTGTTAATCCAGGGTTCCCATAGTTTATTGAATTTCCTAGGGCATCCCTGTTTGGTGTAGGTGAATTTTTCCTTCTCTATTGTATTATTCACGG